AGGTTGGAGAAACTGGGGTTATTTAGTCTGGAGAAGAGCGAGCAGGGATTTGAGTACAGCCATCAAATACGTGAAAGGCTGTTACAAAAAGGATGGAGATAAATTAGACTTTATGGCCAAAGGGGACAGGAGAAAGAGTAATGGTCTGAAATTGCAGCAAGGGAAAATGAGGTGGATATTAAGGAGCACTTTCTCACTAAGGGCGGTTAAACATCGGAGCAGGTTCCCTGGGGAGGGTGTGGCATTCCCATCCTTGGAAGTTTTTCGAGCAGGTTGGACCAGCACCCGTCTAGGATGGTTTAGACGGGGATGTCCTGCCTTGAGAGGGGGGTTGGACTAGAGGCCTGTGACCTCTTGAAGTGCCTCCCAGCCCTACTTTCTCTGATGCCTAGGAACTGTAGCCAACCAGACACTGGCCAGGACCCTATTTTGCTAGTGCTCTAGAAACATAGCGGACAAAGAGGGACCCTATCCCAAAGAGCTTGAGACACTAGACTCCATACTGAGCTTTAAATAAGGCCTCTGCCGTGGGCTTTCACCCTCCACACTCTGAACCTCTATGGGGTGTCATCTCAAGCTTTGCCCATGGCAGATGAAGATGCAGTCACACACCACCATTAAGTGAATCGCAAAATTCACTTAATGGTGAATGCAGTGAACTGCTGTTTCCCTCTGCCCCTCCCATAGCTGCTACTGTTGGCTCCTAGTAACCTTCTTCCAGATGCTTGCCCCAAAGCCCAGAGTTCCTTCCCTACGTGTCCTACCGCAGATGTTCACATGGTGGGATGTGTTTCACAGTGTACTTTGCACCTCCCTTCCAGGACTTTCCTGCTAGACCTTGCCCCAATGGAACCTATGGTGAGCAGCGGGGTCTGGGCAGAGCTGATGAATGCTTGCCATGCCCTGTGGGGAAGTACTGCTACCAAGAAGGGCCAGCACCTCAAGGAATCACCCATCCGGTGAGTAATCCCCCATCCCATGCACCTTCCTGCAACTTCTCAAAGAAGAGTGATGCTGGAGTGGGGGCACTGGTTATTGGCTCTGCACTCCTGCCTTCCTATGCACCGGGGGCATATAGCCTGTGGAAGACAGCCTGAGTGCTAGCCATTGATACCTCTGCATCGCTAAGGTGCTTTGGCAGCTCTTGTATGACAATCTTGTCTTCAAAGCCCTGGGATAGTCAGATTAGGAAGAGCTGGAAAGAGGGAGCCTCTACTAAAAGCAAAATAGGTAGTGTTTCACTAGCCTGGGCAGAGCCATGCTTGGATTTGAGGGAGATCCCTCCCAAAGCAGCACTCCACTCCCAAGCCAGGTTACCCTTTGCCTCCCACTGAAGAAAGAGTACCCTCCCCAGAACATCTGGCACCAATGGCTGGAGTAGATCTAAAGAGCCTGCAGTGGGCCTGGGATTCACAGGCAGCACAAGGTGAGTGTCCTGCTCCAAGGCTGCCTTGTTTGCACCATCTGCTGTCCTCTCTGTTCATTCACCCCGCTCTACACCCATGCAATATCCCCTGTTTCTAGCTCTACACTCTGTCTCTTCACCCATTCCTTCCACCACCAAACTCCTTCCCCTCTGCTGTGCACCAGTCCCCACACTTTGTCTAAATATCCACATTGCGTGATGAGAGCTGGACCGAGTCTTCCAAGGGAGCACGCTGTTAACACTCAGCAGAGCAAGTACTCAATAAATGGCCATGGCTTCTGAGCATTGACCTAAAAAGAAACCCCCAGGGCGAGCATTTTTATTTTAATGTAACCGGCTTTTATTTTCTCATTTTCTGCCAGGCTCTCGCAGCTGAAGAAGTGCCAGGCTAGTTCTGATCCTGGATGATGTTCAAATCTGTTCTTATTTTCTCTGAATGGATTCCTCCTCTCCCCCCTCAACTCCAAACAGCAAAGGCAGACCCAACACTTACAATCCCCTTCTGGTTTTGCTTCCTAGACTGGAGACTGCCCTCCTGGATACACATGCCCGCCAGGGACTGGATTCCCCTTCTCCTTCCCCTGTCAGCCAGGCTTCTGCTGGGACAACTCCACGGGGGACGGGGGAGACGCGTGCAGAACATGTCCTGCAGGGCACTATTGTGACTCTCCTGCCATGACTGAGCCCAAGCCGTGCCCGGCTGTAAGTATGGCCGTGCTCTGATGAAAGGGGAGGGCAGGTTTGAGGGTGGGCTGTGCTGAGAAGCCTGGGGTTGGTGTAAGTCTTTAACCCTGTAAGAAGATGGCTTTGTTTTGCAGGGCTCTTACTGTGTCCAAGGCAGTTCCCATCCTGAGCCCTGCCCGGAGGGCACGTACAGTAACAGGAAGGGGCTGGCCGGCCCACTGGAATGCAACCCATGTGGAGGGGGCTTCTTTTGTGCTGAGCAAGGACAGACAGGCCCAAGTGGCCCCTGCGAGGCAGGGTTTTACTGCTGGGGCAGGGCCCTGACACCAGTAAGTCACAGGGGGGATTTCTCCCAGTTGGGGTCCGTCCCAATCTGCTCCCCCTTGTTGACCCAGGCATCTCAGCTCTATGACCCTTTGAATGATTTCTGTCCTTTGTGACAAGTATTTCTTGCTGTCCCTATTGGTAACGGGAAATGAGCCTTTGCCTTCCCAATTCTCCTGCACTGGCCCAAAGCTGCAGTGTCTAGGTTGTGAACACGACAAGGGAGCGTTTGCACACAGACAGAAATGCTGCCTTTGCGACTCGAAGAGGAACATGCTTCCATCTGTCTGTCTACCCCGGGCCTAAGCCAGGAGGTCCCCAAATCCCTCCTTTCTCTCTCTCAGTGTTTAAGCAATCTCTTTTCCATGGCAGCTGCCCACTGATGGAGTGACTGGCGATATATGCCCTGCCGGAGCATATTGCCCTCCTGGCTCCCCCTTGCCGATACCCTGCCCTGCAGGAACCTACAGTAATGCGAGTGGGCTTAGGAGCCTGAAGCAATGCTTGGACTGCCCACCTGGGTGAGTTGCCCGTTATACAGAGCTCTCCTCCCTCAGTTTACAGGCCTGCAGATTTATTGCTCATTTGCTGAAAATTGAGCCATGCCATCTCCAGGAGATCTGCAGAAAGCCCAGTTAACCACACGAGCGGCCCCTCAGGCTACTCATCTGCCTGTAGTTAGATTTCCAGACTGTCCAAGTAGGACACCACGAGCTAAAGACTCTCCCCATAAGTCCATGCTGGTTCTCATCAGTGGGACACCATTTGCTGGATAAATGGAGGGGGATATTTATCCCATTGTGCTGTGTGCTGAGTTCCCAGTGACAGAAATGAAAGTGGGGCACAAGATTTTGAAGGACGTTGAGTGGCCCCTATAGTGGCTGCGAGGGTTCATCCTCTATTACTTAGATATCAGAGGGTGAACACGCATGGAAGAGGCAGAGGGTGAAAAGTGATAAAAAATAATTAAATTGTGGAAACGATGCCCAGTTTTGACCTGCTTAATCCCTGCAAAATCCACAGTCATAAGGACTCCCCCAGCCCATGTCATTCCAGCCACTCAGGAGTTTATTGTTTTAGGGCAATACTTTCCTTTGGAAAAATCAGTGTCTTCACTGAAGACGTGTTTTCCAAGCACAGGCTATACTGCAATGGGGTCAACAGCCAGGCTCCCACTGGACCCTGCAAGCCTGGCTACTTCTGCACCGGAGCTGCCAAAACTGCTCTTCAACAGGTGGCCATGGAGGGGCATTATACACTGGCAGGAGCTTTCAGACCAGAACCATGCCCTCTGGGGAGTTTCCAGCCTGTAAGTACAGCCCTGTAAGGTACAACCTCCTTTGGGTCCACAAAGCCTTCAGAGTTGTGGTAAGGTGAGCAGATGCTGGTGAGATGTTCGCTTTGGACCAGATGCAACCCTTCAGCTTCACCCTCAAGCCCCATGCGGCACAGGCTGCTCACGTGACTCCCATGGGGTTGCTCTGGAGCTGGGAGGGTTTATAGGACATTTGCCAAGGATGACAGGTCTAGCTAGAAGCAGTACAATCTCATATACATGGTCTGATTCCTGCTGCAATCTCTCTCCAGGGCCGTGGTCAGTCTCTGTGTAGGGAGTGCCCGGAGGGGACCTTCTGCAATCGAACCGGTCTGGCTGAACCTGTGGCTTGTCCCAAGGGGCACTACTGCCCAGCTGGGAGCACTCTGCCTCTTCCTTGTCCGGTGGTAAGAGCCAAATGTTTCCCCCCTACTCCATATAGGTGTTCTGCTGTGGAGCCTCCTCACCCTCAGCGGGACTCAGCACCTCTCCGTCTGTCTGCTCAGGGCACTTATGGAACAGGATCCTGCACACCCTGCACACCAGGCATGTACTGCAGCATGGCTGGTCTGGCCAGGCCAGAAGGACTTTGCCAGCCAGGATATTATTGTGTCCAAGGGTCCAGCAGCCCCTCCCCGGTGAGTTGTGGTCTCGTTTGACAACTCCCGTCCCAGGTGGCCGCAAAGGACTTTGTGCCTGATGGGCACTTTGTTTCCCTCATCCCAGGTGGGAGGTCCCTTTGGTGATCTTTGCCCCCCAGGGTATTACTGCTTCGCTGGTACAAAGTCCCCGAATGAGACGCCGTGCCCTGCTGGCACCTGGAACGAGCACAGGGGAGCCCAGGATGTGAGCTGGTGTCTACCCTGTCCTTCTGGGTTCTTCTGCAATGTGACAGGCCAGGTTTCTCCTGCAGGATTTTGTGCCCCAGGTGAGACATGGAGGGACCTGCCCAGTCACCAAGGAATTCACTCCCCTCCTCATTACAGTGTCACATACTGGGCATGGCTACACATTCATTAGTGCGCCAGAATTACGGTGCATTACGTTTCGTACCTGTAACCACACCGTAATCAGTGCTACCATGCATTAGCACAGTTGAACGGGTTTTTGGTGATGTTAATGCACAGTAGATGTATTCTACTGTGCATTAGCGCATTAGCACAGGTTTTGCCGGCCATGCTAATGCACAGTACAATTAGTCGTCTGCACATTAAGCGTCTCGTGAAGACGTGCTGACTTTCTGGTAAGTGCTCTCCCCTGCTTAACACACCAGCCGCAAGGCAAAGCAGGATTGAGATCCTATGTGTGTTCTGCTTTCAGGCTACTACTGCACAGGAAGGACACGGACCCCTAGGCCAATGGATGGTATCACAGGGAATATGTGTCCTGAAGGACATTACTGCCCTGCAGGCTCCAGAGCACCCTCCCTTTGCCCAGATGGAGAACACAGCAACACAACAGGTCAGGGGCTTGGGTGAAGATGGGATTGCCGCAGCTGCAGACTAACTGGGAAGGAGGCACAATTCCCTTTTGAGTGGCATGGCTGCAGCATTATCATCTAGTGGGATGTGCCCACTAGGGCAAACTATTCACTGGTGTTGGGGGTTGGAAACCCAGAGTCCAGAAGAACTGTGTCCATCAAAGACACGTGTGTGATGAGCACGAACCCCCCAGAGTGTGGTCATAGGTAATCCTGCAGGTAGAGATCAGCAAGGCAGGGTCTCCCTCCATTGAGATTGTGGTGGGACAGTCCCTTGTCATGCAAGCTCGACTGTCAAGGCATTAAAATACCTCCCAGAAGACCGAAAAGGCTGTTGCACTGTCACACATGGAGGTTCTGTATGATGGTGAAGAGGCAGTTGTGAGTTGTCCTCGCTGTGTTTGAGGACTGTGGTCAGTATGCATCACCAGGTCCCAGCCTAGCCTCTTGTTCAACACTAACAAAGCTGAGAAATGGTTAACCAGATTTCCTCGCTGCTTTGCCTGCCACCCAGCGGTTGGACGTGGAGGTGAGCAGAGCTCCTTTTGGATGAGTACCAAGAATCAGGGATACTTCTCTAAACTTCCTGAACCTGAAAGATGTAGCTGGTAGGCAGGACGAAATAAATGGTCTCGTGATTATTGAGGTATGTCTGGAGACACTATAGTCTGGAGATCTAGAAGAAAGCTCCTCTACGTGTCATGTCGAGGTCCAAGAGTGAACAAGCAGGGGAGAGTCCAGCAAAAGAACAGTCATTTTTGCTCCACTCGTACTTTCTCTGCTCTTTCCTGAACTGCCTGCCTAGGTCAAGAGAAATGTTCCCCTTGTCCAGCTGGATTTCACTGTCAGAGTGGCATAAGGCTTCACTGTCCACCTGGCTTTTACTGCCCCCAGAAGACTGGAATCAGTTTTTCTCCTTGTCCACCTGGGACTTACAACCCATCTCATGGAGTCAGCCAGGCTGAGAGGTGCCAGCAGTGCCCTGCAGGTAAGGAAACCTCTCAGAATAACAATTCTCCAGTTCACCCACCCAGCAGACTATGCCACTGGAGGGAGATCCCTATGTGTACCACCTCCCAGATCACTAATGCACAAATTTTACCTCCAGGAAATAATTCTTTCTTCATGCCATACTGTCAAAATATACCTGGTGTGATCTGTAGGGTCCCCACAGTCTTCTGAAGGGGATGGAGTTGGTTGCATTGGGAAGATAATTGTCCACCTCTGAGGATGCTGTGATGGGATGTCTCATGCACCGACTCTCTAATGCTTCAGAGATGAATCCTGCATGCTCGCTCTCCCCATCCAGTGAGAGTCTCTCCATGGTATTTTATTTTTCCAGGCATGTTCTGTGGAGAATGGGGACTGTCCTCTCCGAGTGGGCCCTGCTGGCCAGGCTTCTTCTGCACTGCAGGTACTTGGCATTGCATCCCCAAGCACAAAGGGAAATTCAGGAGGGGAAGGCTAAGGCCCTTGGGCATTTACTGTTACTCTTTGTGCTCTTCCACCCTTCCAGCTTAATTGGCTCTCACTCCTACTGCAAGGTGAGAGCCACAGTGTCACTGAACATGAGGTTGGCAGAAAGACCTTGGATGTAGGGCTGGCAGTTTTGTCATTGTTAACCCAGTGGCAGGGCAGGGAGGAGTGTGGTACTGCTATGTTAGCACAGGATAGGATGCCGATGTGGTAGCATTAGTAGGAGGGAGTGCCACAGAGATTTGGGGGCTTGAGGCTGTGAGAAGAAGCCTTGGCACGTGTGTGCTGACATTTATACAGAAATTGGACCTAGCCTTTCAGAAAGGCAAGATGCTAAAACTTGTGGGTGAACCGCAGCCCTACTCAGTATGGCTGCAAACTACAAAGCAGTTATAGGTTTCATCTACCTGGCCACATGGATCATTTTGGATGCTGTCACCAGCTCCCACAATAATTGGGGGTTTGGTCCTTTTACAAGATTTCATGAAAATCTCCATGTCCATTTAAGAAGCCGTCAGTTTTTACCCCTTGTGATTATTGCAAAAAGCCTGAAATGTGATCCAAGTTCTCCCCCGGGTTCAAAGCCAGAAAATGAAGCAAATGAACCCATTTGAAAACAAATTGTGATTTTAAAGGCCTGCCTCCTAATTTTGGGTTCCTGGGGCTTGGCAACACTGCTTCCAGCCTCGCCAGACCTAGGAAAATAGTATTGCAGGTCGTTACCAGTCCTGTCTCCCCAGGGAACGAGTCTCATGAATATTTTATTGAGGCCAAGTCCAAAGCTAAGATGCTTTTGGATGTAAGCCCAGGTTGAGGAAATACTCACAAGCAGGCCTTTGTCTGTGGTGTCTGCTGCATTAATGCAAGGAAAGCTTGTGTTAAACACAGCGAGTCCCCTTGTTTATAGCTGCCGAGCGGCTCACAAAGCAAAGCCCTGCTTTGGCTGCAGCAGGCTGCTCACTTTCTAATCAGTATTCAGGTCCAGGCACCACAGTGGGGGCAGTGACTTTTTGCAGTGACTTTTCTCCAGCCACACCCAGCATGCTTACCTAGCTATAACAGCTTCTCTGTGCACATTGCCTTTCAATAGCTAATTCCTTTTGGATCGCACCAGGGATTAGGAGTCAAGGGTCCTAAATTCTAGCTCCAGATCAGGCAAGGAGCCCCTCCATCATCTGCAGCAGGTCACTCGCTTGCTTTGGGCCTCGGTGTCTTCTTCTGTCAGGTCAAAGTAATGATTCGTGTGACTTAAGAAAGGGCCTGTGGGACTTAGTAAACCCCTGTTTACTTTCAAGACCCTACTGTGGTATCATGCTATGTGTCATCGTCCCCTCTGGCATTTGCCTCCCTGAGGTGTAAGCACTCGCTCTGCTCATTGTGGTGCTGCAGCATGAAGGAGCCCAGCAGGTCCACTCTTTGCATGCTGAAGGGATGGAGACAGGCCCCGTAGTGCAGCCCAATGGTCATTTCTCTCTCAGGTAGTCTTATGGGCACGTGACCAGCACTGGAGTCAGGCAGGCACGTGACATCTGCTTTGGGGCGCACAGCAGGCTCACTGTGCTTCACTGTGACATTCCCTAACATGACCTTTGGCTGGTGCAGACATGTCCTGACTGCAACATCTCCTTAGCTCTGCAGACCCATAACAGCCATCCTGTTCTCTGCTGCCTGCAGAGGAAACAGCTCTGCAGCCACAGGGACCAAACCAGCTGAAGGGTTGCAGCATTTCTCACTCAGGATGCTGCTGCTTTGTTGTTTAGTTTCTAAATCTGCTTTGCTTTTCATTACAGGAGCCAGTGTCCCAGATCCTAATGGAGTCACAAACACAAGCAGTGGAGGGCCATGCCCACCTGGTCACTTTTGCCCAACTGGCACCAGTATCCCATTGCCCTGCCCAGCGGGCACGTACTCAGACAGGTGAGCTCCTTGGCACTGGTCTACAATCTGAATGTCTTTCTGTTCCCCTTATGATTTTTCCACTGATGCTGCAGTCTCTTGCTCCATCTTGCAAGCAGTTCTGAGGCTTACTCTAGAAGTAACAAGTGCAATGCAGCCTGCTTCATGGAACAGGTGGGTTGTGGGGCTCTGGGTTTGCTAGAAAAATGATGGCGCTGCATCCAGTTGTGGTAGGTTGCAGCAATGGGAATTTTATCCTGAAAGAGCAAGTTGGCTCCTATGACTGGGAATTGCTGGATGTGGCTCCCGAAGCTCACTGTGAAGGGGATACCTGGGTCATCATTCTCTTCTTTCACATCTACACCTCAGTTGTTCTCCCCAGGCTCTACCTTGGGCTGGAGTCCAGCTGCACCCTGTGCCCACCTGGTTATCACTGCAGCTCAGCGGGCCTCACGTCCCCCTCAGGACCCTGCTCAGCAGGTTTCTACTGTCTGTCCGGAGCCTCCTCCCCATCACCAGCAGGTGAGACATCTCTGCATGACAAGTCATGCTGATTTGCTGTAAATGGCAGTGCCTTTGTCTGCCTATGGCACAAAGGGTGGTATTTTAACTTGTCCACACTGGGTTCTTAGCCTTGCTTTTGGCTCTAACCTCACTTCACAGGACTCCCTCCCCCCTCCAGCCTCTCTGTCACTGGCCGACCCATTCCCTTGCATCTCCCAAATAGCCTTCTTCTCACTCAGGAGCTGGACCCTTTCATCAGCAAAGGGGCTGTGTTGTGTACTCATTGCTCTTCTGTATCTTATTTTAGCCATGTCCCATATAAGCCCTGCCTGTTTCCCACTAAGTAGCAGGTTTAAGCTGCA